GGTGCGGGGGGGACAGGAGCCGGCAGCGGGAAGAGGGGACCTGGCAGCGGGGTCTTCGGGCGGGAGGTGGGGGAAGGAGAGGGGGAGAAAGGGGGGAAGGGGGAAAATGAAGGAGAAGGGGAAAAGGGGGAAGAGGGAAAGAAAAGGAAAAGAAAGAAAATGAAGAGGAGACAAAGAGAGGAAGAAAGGAGAAGGAAGAAGGAAGAGAAGAAAGAGAGAGGAGAAAGAGAGAGACACAGAAGGAGAGAGAAAGGAAGGAGAGAGAGAGAGAGAAGAGAAAGAGAGAAAGAGAGAGAAAGAAAGAGAGAGAGAGAGAAAGAAAGGAAAGAAAGAAAGAAAGAAAGAAAGAAAGAAAGAAAGAAAGAAAGAAAGAAAGAAAGAAAGAAAGAAAGAAAGAAAGAAAGAAAGAAAGAAAGAAAGAAAGAAAGAAAAAGAAAGAAAGAAAGAAAGAAAGAAAAAGAAAGAAAGAAAGAAAGAAAGAAAAAGAAAGAAAGAAAGAAAGAAAGAAAAAGAAAGAAAGAAAGAAAGAAAGAAAAAGAAAGAAAGAAAGAAAGAAAGAAAAAGAAAGAAAGAAAGAAAGAAAGAAAAAGAAAGAAAGAAAGAAAGAAAGAAAAAGAAAGAAAGAAAGAAAGAAAGAAAAAGAAAGAAAGAAAGAAAGAAAGAAAAAGAAAGAAAGAAAGAAAGAAAGAAAAAGAAAGAAAGAAAGAAAGAAAGAAAGAAAGAAAGAAAGAAAGAAAGAAAGAAAGAAAGAAAGAAAGAAAGAAAGAAAGAAAGAAAGAAAGAAAGAAGAGAATCAAAAGGTGATCATGCTGTAGATTGTGCTGATTTTCTGTGCAATTGCATTCCAGGTTTTCATTCCCTATAGACATTTGGAAGGGGCTCACTATGACAGGGCAGAGTCTGAAGGCTTTATCTGAAGCGAATTTTGAAGACAATGAGATCAGCATCAACGTTGGAGGCTTTAAGAAAAAGATGAGATCCAACACGTTATTAAGGTTCCCTGAGACCAGGCTTGGCAAACTGCTGAGCTGCCACTCAAAGGAGTCCATCCTGGAGCTCTGTGATGACTATGATGACACCAAGAATGAATTTTATTTTGACAGGAATCCTGAGCTCTTTCCTTACGTGCTACATTTCTATAACACTGGCAAGCTCCATGTGATGGGTGAACTCTGCGTGTTTTCTTTCAGCCAGGAGATTGAATACTGGGGAATCAATGAGTTCTTCATAGACTCCTGCTGCAGTTACAGCTACCATGGGAGAAAAATGGAGCCAGACCAGGAGAAGTGGGAGGAACAAAGTGACCAGGAAAGTACTACATCTTCTTTCGATGAAATTTTGGCATTCTACAATGATGCCTCTAAATTTGACAAGCAACCCTTTGGGAACATCAGGAGGCAGCTCTGGCTTGCTCTGGATAATCCTGGGTACTCAGTCTTAAGCCGAATCTTCAGTGTCCTTTCAATAGTGGTGGTGCTGGGCTCCATTGTGACCATGTGCCTGAACAGCCTCCCAGACTTTCAGATTGTTGACAGCAATGGGAACCCCGAGGAAGACCCTCGCTTTGAAATTGTGGAACATTTTGGTATTGCATGGTTCACTTTTGAGCTGGTGGCAAGATTTGCAGTAGCTCCTGACTTTTTAAAATTTTTCAAGCATGCCCTGAATTTGATTGACCTGATGTCTATCCTTCCATTTTATATCACTTTAATTGTCAACTTGGTGGTAGAAAGTAGTCCAACTTTAGCAAATCTAGGCAGGGTTGCACAAGTCCTGAGACTCATGAGGATCTTTCGCATCTTAAAGCTTGCTAGACACTCCACAGGTCTCCGGTCTCTTGGGGCCACCCTGAAGTATAGCTACAGAGAGGTGGGGCTTCTTTTGCTTTACCTCTCTGTTGGCATCTCCATTTTCTCAGTAGTGGCTTACACCATTGAGAAAGAAGAGAATGAGGGGTTAGCCACCATCCCTGCTTGTTGGTGGTGGGCTACTGTTAGCATGACTACAGTTGGCTACGGGGATGTTGTGCCAGGGAGCACTGCTGGCAAGTTGACAGCATCTGCATGCATCCTAGCTGGTATTCTAGTGGTAGTGCTGCCCATTACACTGATCTTCAATAAATTCTCCCACTTTTACAAGCGTCAGAAGCAGTTAGAGAGTGCCATGAGAAGCTGTGATTTTGGTGATGGTATGAAAGAAGTTCCATCAGTCAACTTAAGGGACTACTATGCTTATAAAGTTAAATCCCTTATGGCCAGTCTTACCAATATGAGCAGGAGTACCCCCAGTGAGCTGAGCCTGAATGATTCACTGGATTAGTGTACAAGTTTGACAGCAGTTTGCATGAGAGCTATCAAGAGCTATGTTTGTAAATGTTTCCCTGTTTGTCTTTTTTCTTAGAGGATAGTGTTGCTGACACTGCACTGAACTTTGCACTTGAGAAACTAAAGACATTTCTATTACAAGTTGATGGTTTGCACATTTTCATCCTGTTGCATTGCTAGTAAATGCTGACTTTTCCATACAAATGTGATCACTTCCATGACATTACTGCTAGAGGTGTAGTGATGGTCTGTTACTTCGTGCATTACCTCATCTGAGCAGAGAAATTAATGTACCCAAGTGGAATAAAAATTCTCATCTGTGACACGAGTAATGAAAAAATCACCTATGCTGGTACCTGTAATAGTGTAGGACTTGCCATGCATTTTACAACGGTTTAAAACAATCACCAGTGAGTCACTGACACAAGACCACTGTCCCCAACTGTATGACTGGCAATTCTGATTGTCACATGTAGGAAAACACCTCTGAGCTTTGCATTTCACTGGAAGTTTGCTTACTCTTGAGGACCTGTGTTAAAAATTGGGTGCTCTTGTTCTGAAATGTTACATATGGTAATATTTTTCAGAAGCTCCTAAGCAAAGACCTACCTCTGCTTCCAAGATTTGGTTGATACTGAGCCCTCTGAAGAAGCTCACCCCTCATTTTCAGATAGCTACATATTCAGACTACATTTCCACAGGTCACTCTAGGTATGGAGGCCCATGGAGACATCTCAGGTTCCCCTTTCCACAAGTGATCTGCACACAGATCAGTTCCAGTGAAGCTGAAGATATACTGTGATTCAGCCTGTCAAAATCGTTCTGAGATTAGACACACAAAAATGTGGATTTTCAACAATTAGAGGCTACAATGAAAAACTTGGACTTCTTTAATGAAGTGAGATATTCCCACATGAACAGTACAGGCAGCATTTTAGGAACTGACATTCATGTACTGCAAAAAGACTAATTATAAAGATGCCATATGTGAGGGTGAGATATAAAATCTAATTTTATCAGGAAAGCTTGAAAGCAGGTTTTGATGGCAGACAATTCCATTAAGCTTACTGCCAAGGAAACTCTTAAGGGAAAAAAAAAGAGCTCTAAGTCACATTTTCCCTCAGAAAGGAACTCACAGTTTACAGACGAGGAAGAGTATAACGGCCTAAGAAAGAAACAGATCAAGAAAAAGAGCTTAATACTTCACACACTGTGGGCAGATCCTCCTACCTGCTTCTGTGACGTAGTAAATTAAAAACCTTTGAAGGGCTGGCTTGTACTTTTTTTTTTTTTTAAAAAAAAAAAATAAAGACTTGAGAGAGCAGATGATCTGGGTTTTCAAGACTAGTCATGAATCTGCATAAAATTATTTGTTGAGTGCTTAGCCTTTTCCCTTACACAACTGCACAGAGATCAAACACTTGTAGCCAACAGGCAGAAGCCACTGATTCTCTCTCTTTATACTTCTAGGGATTTGTGCTACAGCCCACACTACTGGCACTCAGTGGGCAGAACAACATTTCTCTTCAGATCCTGCTGCTTTTCCATCTCGTTTATTATTTTATGTCATAGTGTTTTCCAATTCTTTTTGTTGTTTGCTTGTTTTATTTCTGAAGACTAGAGAGGTTCAGAAAATGAATTCAAAAGTGTTAGAAGAGAAATGAAAATACTAAGGCAAATATTGTCATGTTTGGAAGCCTGTGTTTGTACATCACAATAAAGAGTGGCCCAACTGGCAGAATAAAGCAAATACAGTATGACTAGGGAATGCCCTTTTTTAATCTATTAGAGGTTGCTCTCTGGTCTAGTTCTTTTGATGTTTTTGCTGTATCAGCTCCACCGAAAACCAGAAAGCGGATTACCCAGAACCCCGTATGCCCAGTGTTCAATTACAGAATACACAGAATAAAATAACTTACACACAAACACAGATACACACAAACATTGCCTTTGAACACCCTCTCCTCATGTCAGTTAGTAGCTGATCTAGGCCATGAAGTGTGAGGGAAATGGGTTCTTTCTAACAGTACCAAAAAAACCCAACTCCTGGAGATTTCAGTGTAGCCTGCACAAGTTACAAAGCCAGTAGGCAAGATGTTGCTTGCTGTCCCTGAAAAATGGAAGAGCCACATATATGGCCCTGAAGGTAGGCCTAGATAACCTGAATCAGGTGTTCAAACTTGAAACACTTAGCTAAGGTTTTCAATTCGGCTGTGGGGGAAGGGGGGGACAGGTTCAAGTTCTCTGCTGGGTCACAGGCATAAATTCAACATTCTTGCCCCTCACTCACATTGCATGTGTGTGAGCAATCAAACACCTACACACACGCCCCCAAAACATGGCACAGGACTAGGTTGCCTGTTGGATTGAAATACCATGAAAGGAATAAGGGAAGGAAGAGACAGGCTTGCACAGCACATACACTCCTGTTGGGTTGCCTGCTGCAAGGGGGGAAAACTCTCCCACTGGTGTCAAGGACACTGCAAGTTCTTACTAGGTCTGTTGGCTGGAAGCCTTCAGAGAATCCAGCTCTGAGCAGCAGTTTTATCTCAGCTGCACATGCAGTAGGTTCACAGAGTTGAAAACCGATGACTTTCAGGGCAGTTATTTGAAGAGACCTGAAAACTTGCCAAGAAGTCATGAATTCCCTCAGCTGTTGCTAGTTTAGCATTGCAAAGGCTGCAGCCAAACTTTGCAACACATCATTTCAATAACCTATAGCTTATCTTTTGCTCTAGATTTATTTTTATTCATAGGGCTGATGCTCTGTCATTTCTACAAATATTGAATGGAGCGTGTCCAAATTGTGTTCTACTAAAGAAAATGGAATACCCCAAGGAATTATGACTTTTATTGTACTGGTTGAAAGGAATTTTCATTATTGCTTTTTTATATAAGTGCTTTGGATCAAAGACACTAAATAAATAAAGTACTGAAATTTAATACGTTCTTACTATAATGACAATTACTTTACACAGTACACAGGAATTCCCTTCATAAACTTAACTAACTCCATGTTAAAAGTAGTCAGATTTTTGCTCCCCATCCTCCTCTGGAAGAACATTCCACAGCTGCACTGTTCTCCAAGGCTTGCACAACTTCTAGCATACTTTTCTTAATGGCTGCTTTATAAAAGGTTTTGTTTTTTTTCTCACACCACCACTGTTATTTAACTTAAATATTCCATTTTCCTCTTAGTGTTTGCATGCATGGTGTATTGATAGACAGCAACCATATGTCCTCACATGCCTATTTTCACAGGATTATACTTGCCAAGCTTCCTTTTATTTTTGCAAGACGTTCCCTTGACCATCAGAGAGGATGTAGCCTTTTTTTTTTTCTGCATTACTTCTGCTTAGATTTAATGTTTGGGCTGGCATTGCACTGTACTGTATTGCTTTGTACAGCAGTTTTAATATTTTCTTATGACTAACAGAATTTTTCACTGAGGAGGAAAGCAACAGTTCCAGTTTCAGTAACATTGTTGTCTTAGCTTCCCCAAAATACCTAGATAAGGAAAAATGAGTCTCACCCTTCCTGCAATTTTATGAAATAACCTCTACTCTAGAGCTCAGTCCAGTAAGTGCTGAGAACCCTCATCTCTCCTTAATTAAAGTTACAGAAAATGCTTATACTTTGAAGGAAAAAATCAGTCCCTCCAAAGCCCCAGTGAAAAGAGGCCACGTACTTCTCGAGCAGTCAGGACTTTTGCCAGACTGCTTCAACCCTGTAAGAGCAGGGCATCTTCACTTCTCTAAACCAGCAGAGCAGAAATGAAGGGTAAGAAGACTAATCTGGCCACTTTCTCCAGTGTTTGAAGCTTGAAAATCAGTGTGTTCAGAAATGTGCTACTCTGGATGTGCAGCTTAATGAAGAACATTGCATGAGACATGTGCTCCTCCTGCCTTGTGATTATCAACTTCCCAGCATGGGTGAAAACACTGCTCTTACTCTCTTTGGGCTGAGAGTTTTGAATTGCTTAAATGAGGATTATGGTAATATTTCAAATGAGGCAACTTACGTTATTGCCAGGAATAAATTGTTAAGAGAATCTTAATTTCTAGTACAAATCTGGGCTATTATGAGAGTCGGAGATGTCCTTGAGAAGCAATATGTTACATTATTTTCCTGAGATGTAAAATCTATATATAGATTGTGATTAAGCTTTTTACGTATGTTCAGATTTTGTATTATTGCCTGGTTTATTATTCACTTTCTTTCATCTGCTGAAATCTTTCCCTGATGACTACTTCATCCATTTTGAAAGTAGACTGTTTTTCCGCACTTATATATAGCACAAGCTACTTCATATTGCAAACTTAAAAACAAAGAATTTTGCATTTCATTTTCCAACTTCAATACCTCCAGTATTTGTACCTTTTTGTACAGAACTTTATGACACTGCAGGGAACTGCTGTATCTGGTGCTCTTTGTACTCTGTTTCTTGTCCCAGTAGTGTATAACACATTCAAAAACTCAGCTTTGTGCTACAAAATGGAAATTAAATGCATAAAAAGTATATTACATCAGGGATTAAGACATTATTTAAATTTCAGGATATTCTGAGTATATATTATAATAAAAAGAAGCCTGGATCTCATTGTGAAGACAGGTTTCTTTTAAACTTATACATCAGACTAGATGACTATCTTTAGAAATGCTCTTACTTGGTGGTTATGGTGGGGAGCCTGCATTTTTTAGTAGAGCAAATAGTGCAAGCCTCTTGTTTTCATCCTCACAGATTACGGACTAAGCAACACACCAATAGCACTTGTAAGTGCTAAATCAACTTGACATGACCTTTCATCTCTTCCAAAACAACCCCCATCCTTAGAGAACCCAGCTGTGCACATACAAGCAGCAGAAAGCCCCTGGAGTAACTGCTCTTGCCGTGCTAGTTACCCCTTTCCTCTCACAGCACTCCTGACTTTAATCTACCTTTGATGGTACTTTCAAACAACATTCAACCCACAGTCACCACTCCTATCCCTGAGTGGGGTGTTGTGCCAGAACCGTGCTTTTCTCATCAATCTCTTTTGATCCCCTGTAACTTATTTTCAAATTGCCCAATATTTAGGCAGGGCTAGAAAAACTTTCCCATCCAGTTTCTGATTCAATTTTTACTGATTCTGTGTTTTCCCATTTTCAATTAAAAACCAACAACAAAAACAACAACAACAAAAAGATGATGCTTCTCACCTGAGAATAATTTACTGGGTGAACAATGCAACAGGCAATACATTATTCAAAGCAGCAGTTCTCTGCTTAGTTGGTTCAGAGAAGGGTGTAATGTCTGTGCCTGCAGAGCAATTGTTGGTGTCCTTAAGGAACATCACCCTC